GGTATAGGGGCCCATGGCAGATTAGGGGCCTGGCAGCAGCTATGGGAGGCCCGTAATCTGCCACACCCTATGACAAAAAATGGAACACACCAGCAGTGAGGAGACCTGAAAGTGGCACATGGCATGAGACACTGTGGACCTGGCAGCAGCATGAGGAGGCGGTACAGGGGCCCATGGCAGATTAGGGCCTGGCAGCAGCTATGGGAGGCCCGTAATCTGCCAGCACCCCTATGACAAAAAATGGAACACACCAGCAGTGTGAGGAGACCTGAAAGTGGCACATGGCAGAGTGTGGCGATGGAGACAGCAGCAATGGGAGGCCGTACAGGGACCCATGAGACACACTCTGGACCTGGCAGCAGCATGAGGAGGCGGTACAGGGGCCCATGGCAGATTAGGGGCCTGGCAGCAGCTATGGGAGGCCCGTAATCTGCCAGCACCCCTATGACAAAAAATGGAACACACCAGCAGTGTGAGGAGACCTGAAAGTGGCACATGGCAGAGTGTGGCGATGGAGACAGCAGCAATGGGAGGCCGTACAGGGACCCATGAGAGACTCTGGACCTGGCAGCAGCATGAGGAGGCGGTACAGGGGCCCATGGCAGATTAGGGGCCTGGCAGCAGCTATGGGAGGCCCGTAATCTGCCAGCACCCTATGACAAAAAATGGAACACACCAGCAGTGTGAGGAGACCTGAAAGTGGCACATGTTTGGGGCATGATTCATGGCGGATTTAGTCAGTTGTCAGGAACTGGTGTGTTTGAAATCCAGACTAATCCACGCCTGATTCATTTTCACAAACGTGAGTCTCTCCACACTTTGGGTGGACAGTCGTGTCCTCCGCGCGGAGTTACAATACCTCCTGCCGCACTAAACACGCGCTCCGATGCCACGCTACTGGCCGGGCATGACAGCCTTTCAAGGGCAAATTCAGCTAGTTGGGGCCAAAGGTCAAGTTTCGTTGCCCAGTAGTCAAGGGGATTGTCTACCTCGGTTGGCAGGGTGCTGTCCAAGTAGGCCCAAGCCTGTTGTTTGAGGTCCTGCTCCAGGTCCACCTGATGCTGCTGCTGCTGCGGCTGGTTAGTAGTTTCCTCACTGCGCTGGTGAAGAAAGCTACTCATCATCGACTGCAGACTGAGGCAGCCGCTGCTGGTGGAGCTGCCACTGCTCCTACCACCCCACCCCTCCCCTGCTGCCATGGCAGCGGAACGCGAGCGCACAGGGCCCACAGTGTCTGAGGATGGACGTTGGCGCAGAAAGGCAGAGACCAACTGACTACATAGGTGGTTTTTATAGTACGTTATTTTGGCCTCCCTCTCAGCAGGTGTGAAAAAGGCCACCATTTTTGAACGGTAGCGAGGGTCCAACAAGGTGGACAGCCAAAAGTCATCCCTCTGTCTGATGGTTATTATTCGGCTGTCGCTACGCAAGCAACCGAGCATGCTATGGGCCATTTGTGCCAAGGAATGCGAGGGACTCCCTGCCTCCATCTCCACAGCATACTGCCACGGTGCGTCTGGGTCCTCTGTCTCCTCCTCCCTCCTCCTCTACCAGATGCTCCTGCTCCTCCACTCCTGTCCGCTGAGTGGAAAAACCACCCATTTCACTCAATAATTCCTGAGCACAAATGTCCTCCTCTACCTCCTCCTCTTCTTCCTGTCCTGCCCCCACAGGGGTCATGTGGCGTTGAGATCTGTGCGCCACGTCTACCGCACCCTGACCAGCCATTGTTAACAGCATTTGTTCCAGGACGTGCAACAGAGGAATGACGTCGTTCATCCCATAGTCCTGCCGACTCACGAATAGCGTGGCCTCCTCAAAGGGCCTGAGCAAGCGGCAGGTGTCACGCATGAGCTGCCAATGGCTGACATCGAAGTTACACAGGGGAGTACCTTTATCCGCTTGTAACATCAGGAAATCGGTGATGGCCTTTCGCTGTTCGTAAAGGCGGTCTAACATGTGTAGGGTTGAATTCCACCTTGTTGCAACGTCGCAGATCAGGCGATGCTGTGGAATTCCGTTCTGCCGCTGCAGCTCAAGGAGGGTGTGCTTTGCGGTGTAGGAATGGCTGAAATGCATGCAAAGTTTACGTGACATTTTAAGGATGTCTTGCAGTGGGATGGTGGATTTTAGGAACCGCTTGACAACCAGATTGAACACGTGAGCCATGCATGGCGCATGGCACAACCTTCCTTGACGCAGAGCAGACACCATGTTCTTTCCGTTGTCGGTCAACATGGTTCCGATTTTCAGTTTGCGCGGAGACAGCCATCTGTCGATTTCTCTGTTCATTACACTGAGAAGTTCCTCCCCTGTGTGACTACGTTCGCCAAGGCATACCAGGTGCAGCACAGCGTGACACCGTTGCGCCCTGCACATGTGATATGCCGGTCGGGTAATGGGACTTGGCACGGGGGTGGCGGCTGAGGACACGGCGGAAGAAGAGGTGGTAGAGGCGGACATCTTTTGTGGACCAAGGACGTGCAAACGTGGAGGCAAAAGCGGCGTGACCTGTCCAAGTTGCTGGTGCGGCTGTGACGGCACCACGTTCACCCAGTGGGCCGTAAATGACATGTACTGTCCCTGACCGTAGTTACAGCTCCACACGTCGGCGCTGCCGTGCACTTTGGCAGAGACCGACATGCTCAAAGACTGGCCCACCATCTCTTCTACATGTGAATGCAGGGCTGGCACTGCCTTTTTGGCGAAGAAATGACGGCTTGGCACTCTCCACCGCGGCGCGGCACAAGCCATCATTTCTCGGAAAGGTGCTGAGTCCACCACTTGGAAAGGGAGGGACTGCAGCACCAGCAACTTGGACAGGAGGACGTTCAGCTTTTGCACCGTCGGGTGCGTGCTCGCAAACTGTTGTCTCTTGGAAACGGATTCCAAGAAAGACTGCTGACGGAATCCGTGAAGAGGAGTAGCAGGAGAAGGAGCATCTGAACGAGCGGAAGATGCCAACGAGCGACAACTCCCCTCAGCAGAGGTGTTGGAGCCTTGACTGGCTGATAGAGGGCGATTGACGTCGGGTGACGGAGCAAGTAACGGAGCGGGTGATGGAGCGGGGGCTGGGGCGGGCAGAACCGCCGTATCTTTATCACGGTTTTCCCAGGCCACCAAATGGCGACGCTGCATATGCTGCCGCAACGCTGTAGTCCCAACATGGGCCCCCTGGCCACGCTTGACTTTCTGGCCACATAGTCGACATACGGCTACGTTTTACTTCCTCGGAGCGGCTTGACAAAAAATTGCCACACCACACCGCCGAGTAGGAAACTTTGCCCCCGATACTCCTCACTGGCTGACTGCTGCTTCCTCCGTGCACACCGGCACCACTAACTGGCCGTGGTGGTAGGCTGCAGTGGAGCTGGTGCTATCTACTCCGTGGCCGTTTGGCCTCCACTGACACTGCTGCGACCCTGCTGCCTCCTGGGCAACCCACCGACTGTTTTGCTCGCTGCCAAGCTGCCACCCTCTTCTCCTGATGATGCGGAAGAAATTGCCTGATGACGACGAGGCTGCCAAGTGTGATCAGCCTCATCATCATCAATTAGGGTCTCCGCCTCACTACTAGCCCCCTCGGGCTGCGTCTGGGTCAGGAGACAGACCTGTCTCTAGACCGGCTACCGAGCCACTCTCCTCGCCACTGGGGGGGGTTCTTCGCCTGGCTGCTGAAAAGGCGGATGTCTCCCCCCGTTCCTGACCGCCCTCTGTTAGCTCTTCCTCACTGTACAGTGGGGCTGAGCCCACAGCATGCGATACTTCGCTTGGTGAGGGAACACCAAAGGACAGGGGCAGGTAGAGGACACGTGATTTCAGTGGGCTTGGTCCCGGGCCATGCCAACTAACGGTTTGTGTCTGACGTACCCACCGACCGTTGGCTGTAGGTTCAGAGGTGACCTGGGAAGAGGAAGACGACCGAGCCAACCAATCGATGACGGCAGGGTTGTCGGTGGAGACACGACCGCTGGATGACACCGGGAGCACTGGCCTCTGGCTGCGAATACTGCTGCCGTCGACCCCTTCCCTAAGATAACAGCTGCCCGAAAAAAACATCTCTGCTGCCCTTAAAGTAACGCTGCCGCCCCCCAACGTCTGCTCCCCTTATTCTGCTGGCCACGTCAGTTCCTAAAAACATTGCCCTCCTCTGCCACTCCTCTGCATGTTGTCTGACATACTCTTTAATTCAACGATTCTGTGTCCCTGAGTAACAGTAACATTCTGTGTGTCCCTCAGTAACAATTCTGTGTCTGTCCCTGAGTAACAATTCTGTGGCCCTAAGTAACGGTTCTGTGGCCCTCAGTAACAATTCTGTGTCCCTGATTAACGTTTATGTGGCCTTAAGTAACGGTTCTGTGGCCCCTCAGTAACAATTCTGTGTCCCTGAGTAACAATTCTGTGTCTGTCCGAGTAACAATTCTGTGCCCCTAAGTAACAGTTCTGTGTCCCTCAGTAAACAATTCTGTGTCCCTGAGTAACAATTCTGTGGCCCTAGTAACAGTTCTGTGGCCCTCAGTAACAATTCTGTGTCCCCTGAGTAACAATTCTGTGGCCCTAAGTAACGGTTCTGTGGCCCTCAGTAACAATTCTGTGTCCCTGAGTAACAATTCGTGGCCCTAAATTAACTGTGTGGCCCTCAGTAACAATTCTGTGGTCCCTCAGTAACAATTCTGTGTCTGTCCCTGAGTAACAATTATGTGGCCCTAAGTAACGGTTATGTGGCCCTCAGTAAAACAATTCTGTGTCCCTGAGTAACAATTCTGTGGCCCTAAGTAACGTTCTGTGGCCCTCAGTAACAATTCTGTGTCCCTGAGTAACAATTCTGTGTCTGTCCCTGAGTAACAACTTCTGTGTCCCTAAGTAACGTTCTGTGGCCCTCAGTAACAATTCTGTGTCCCTGAGTAACGTTTCTGTGGCCCTAAGTAACAATTCTGTGGCCCTCAGTAACAATTCTGTGTCTGTCCCTGAGTAACAATTCTGTGGCCCTAACTAACGTTTCTGTGGCCCTAAGTAACAATTTTCTGTGGCCCTCCAGTAACAGTTCTGTGGCCCTCAGAACAATTCTGTGTCTGTCCCTGAGTAACAATTCTGTGGCCCTAACTAACGTTTCTGTGGCCCTAAGTAACAATTCTCTGGCACTCAGTAACAATTCTGTCTGTCCCTGAGTAACTATTCTGTGGCCCTAACTAACGTTTCTGTGGCCCTAAGTAACAGTTTCTGTGGCCCTCAGTAACAATTCTGTGTCCCTGAGTAACGTTTCTGTGGCCCTAAGTAACAATTCTGTGGCCCTCAGTAACAATTCTGTGTCTGTCCCTGAGTAAAAATTCTGTGGCCCTAACTAACGTTTCTGTGGCCCTAAGTAACAATTCTGTGGCCCTCAGTAACAATTCTGTGTCCCTGAGTAACAATTCTGTGTCTGTCCCTGAGTAACAAATTCTGTGGCCCTAAGTAACGGTTCTGTGGCCCTCAGTAACAATTCTGTGTCCCTAACTAACGTTTTCTGTGGCCCTAAGTAACAGTTCTGTGGCCCTCAGTAACAATTCTGTGTCTGTCCCTGAGTAACAATTCTGTGGCCCTAACTAACGTTTCTGTGGCCCTAAGTAACAATTCTCTGGCACTCAGTAACAATTCTGTCTGTCCCCTGAGTAACAATTCTGTGGCCCTAACTAACGTTTCTGTGGCCCTAAGTAACAGTTCTGTGGCCCTCAGTAACAATTCTGTGTCTGTCCCTGAGTAACAATTCTGTGGCCCTAACTAACGTTTCTGTGGCCCTAAGTAACAGTTCTGTGGCCCTCAGTAACAATTCTGTGTCTGTCCCTGAGTAACAATTCTGTGGCCCTAACTAACGTTTCTGTGGCCTAAGTAACAATTCTCTGGCCCTCAGTAACAATTCTGTCTGTCCCTGAGTAACAATTCTGTGGCCCTAATAACGTTTCTGTGGCCCTAAGTAACAGTTCTGTGGCCCTCAGTAACAATTCTGTGTCTGTCCCTGAGTAACAATTCTGTGGCCCTAACTAACGTTTCTGTGGCCCTAAGTAACAATTCTCTGTGCCCTCAGTAACAATTCTGTCTGTCCCTGAGTAACAATTCTGTGGCCCTAATAACGTTTCTGTGGCCCTAAGTAACAGTTCTGTGGCCCTCAGTAACAATTCTGTGTCTGTCCCTGTCCCTGAGTACGTTTCTTTCAGTGGCCCTAAGTAACAATTCTGTGGCCCTCAGTAACAATTCTGTGTCTGTCCCTGAGTAACAATTCTGTGGCCCTAACTAACGTTTCTGTGGCCCTAAGTAACAGTTTCTGTGGCCCTCAGTAACAATTCTGTGTCTGTCCCTGAGTAACAATTCTGTGGCCCTAACTAACGTTTCTGTGGCCCTAAGTAACAGTTCTGTGGCCCTCAGTAACAATTCTGTGTCTGGGTTCATGGGCTCCAGCCGTATGAATGGCTGAGCAGCGATGATGTCACTCCTGCGCATGCATGCTGGAGTCATGGGTACAGCACAGAGCTCCGATGGAACGCATTGGCCTTTCCTTCAGAGTGCATGCGCTGGAGACGTCACCGCCTGCTGAAAATGTAAATATCTCCTACACAGTGCACGTTTAGGAGACATTTACTGTACCTACAGGTAAGCTTTATTATAAACTTACCTATGGGTGAAAAATCAAAGAAGTGGCTTTACTACCACTTTAAAACCCAAAAAAAACAAAAAAAACAAAACAAAACAAAAACACTTTTCCCTGAAGAAGAGACGCTTGAGAGGAGACATGATCAATAATGTACAAATATCTAAATGATGGTTGTAGCATAGGGAGAAAACGAATCAGTCTAAGTCATTTAAGACACACATGGCCAGTCAATGAAGTTGGGATGAGAAGCTGTTTAACTGGGTTCTTTACTGTTAGAGCATTAGGGATATGGAACTCCCTTTTTACACAATCAGTGGTGTCAGCGGGAAGTATCAATAATTAAAAAAAAAAACTTCTAGGTGGGTACTTTAGCAAACACAATATACAAGGATATGGGAATTGGTAGAGGCATAATACATACACACACCCATACAGGTTGAACTGGATAGGCTGGTGACTTTATGCAACCTTACCAACTATTTAATGTCTGCATTCATAAAATAATTAAACCACCTTTTTTATCCACTTGTCCAGGTCACATACCGCTCTCAGCAGTACCGTCATTGTAAGACAGTGCTTACAATGGCTACAGTTTGGATACTGTCCTCTCTTCTATACACAGCCCAGCTATTCTGTTCTGGGAATACTTACACAGTGACAGCTCCTTTTCTGAAGACCTCTGCTTACCTGCCTACTATTATGACTGGCACTTTCTTCTGGCAGCATCAACTTTTGATTTTATACTTCCTTTATTAAGCATTTCATTCTTCAATCTGGGTCTTTATTGGAACATCAGGACAAGAAGTAGATCAAAATGCTGTACTGCCGTACATCCAGGTTTTTCTAATAGAGGAGAGTTGCACCAAACACCATACATAATACCAGCAAAGCCTATCCCTAATAGGGTAAGTGACCAACAAGAAACAGAAAGAAATGTGGTCAGAGCATGTTTACCACAAGTGCTAAAAAGACATTTTTCAAAAAAGACTAGGACTTGGTTAGAAAATGTCCAGGAACAAACAAACCATGTGCGAATTGTGAAGTTATCTCAGGATAAAAAGATTGCCAGATCTCTCTTTGTTTTAGTTTGTGTTTTTTGTATTTGCTGGGCTCCTTATTCCCTACTTATGACAGCTCGTGCTGCCTGCCATGATTATTGTATTGCTTCTTACTGGTATGATATTACGTTTTGGTTGCTGTGGATAAATTCCTCAATAAACCCTATTATCTATCCATTATGCCATGAAAGTTTTAGGAGAGCATTTATCAAAATAATTTACAAGTTTGTAAGGAATCACTAATAGTTTTTGGTAGGAAAAGTATAAAATAGTAATTGGTTGGATGGGATTTTTTTTTTTAAATCAAAAGGTCTATTTACTACCATAAAAAAAACAAAATAAATAAATAATATCATACATCAAATACTATATAGAGCTATCCACAATGCTACTGGATAAACTGAAATAGCTACACATGATCTTATGAACCATAGGTTTGCTATATCAGTGAGATTCTTCTAAGAGCTGAAGTTCCTTTCCTCAGCTACCATTTAGATCCATATCTGAGCTGAAAGTATGAATCCAATTGGTAGTTTTGGAGATAGCAGTAAGAAGTAGGAAGAGTGCAACAGAGAAGGTTTACCAAAGGAGTGGAAAAAGTTCCCTTTGCTTATTGAACATGGTGAAGCCGTATTCTCTTTAATTTTCTAAGCATGTACACTAAACCTCCTGGTTTTTTTTTTTTAATTTTGCATGTGGTTAGGTATTAACCACCAAGTAAACATGCTCTACTTCTTTATTAAATCAGCCCCAATGATTCTGTTATAATTCATCAGAGACTTGGTTAGAACTCTGTAAAACTACATCATATATAGTTAATAACTAATTATACCTGTATCTCCTCCTTAGGGCCAGTGTGTTTCCTTTATTTTGTTATATTCCTTTACTAATGTTGGATGTCTTTTACAGACAACTGAGTGCAATTATGTTATTGTAATGTTAAATAACCCATGAAGATTGCTGTTTCTTTGTCCCTCGAACTGTCCAATGTACTGTATAGCTGTAAGTTTTGCATTGAACTTTACATTGTAAAAAAAAAAAAAGGCGAATAAACCATTAAAAATAAAGCAATTTATAGTGTTTTTGTAATTAATATTACTGGATTTTATTTCTCATTGGAATTGTCTTCACAAATGTGTTTCTGCTTTGATAAAAAAGGAAATCTCATGACTTTATATGACCAGCTAAATGTGTATACAGTAATCCTTTGTGTTAAAGGGACGGATATCACAACCAGCTTTTTCACATATTAACCGACTTGTCCCATTACAGTTACATGATTAACCCCCCACAAATAATATTTATGATTGCTGCAGAAAGCACTGTTTTGGGCTCCAACAGTGACCAATCGTTCTTCATGTTGCAGGGTCTGTAAAATTGTGAGATGAGTTGCCTGGGTATGGCCAATACTCCCTGCAGAACTGTATAGCTCTTGAGGAATCTTTATATGAGCATGTTGTGAACATGTGCAAATTGGTGATCATGTGAGAAGTCTCTTAAACATGTAACAGCCTCAATATTAGCATGTTTTTAATTACTGTGGTGTCAAGGCAGTGTGAAAAAAAAACAGCAAATGATCTTACTGCTGGAGTAAGTGCAAAAGCTCAGCAACCATGTAGCTTTTTACCCAAGGCTAATCAGATGCAGTACAGCAATACAGCACTTTACTGTTTCATGTGTTGTATGTAGAACGACAGCATGCTTTAGGCAGTTTTGCTGCCAGGCACAGTTAGTTGAACAAAACACAAATGAGGTGAAAGAGAAGTAAGTGCATCTTAGCTTTATTTTTGAGAAAGTGTTAAAGTCTACCTAGTTTTCTATGAAAGATACTGTATGTACTACTTAAGTCACTGACTGCTGTTTTACATGTTGGCAATACCATAGATCAGGGTATGCAATAAGAGATCTAGGGACAAGTGGTCATGCAGCATTGGAATAGGTTTTCTGGAGAAGGCATGGAGCTTTATATATGTCACTGAGGTATGGTGTACTCCATGATCTGTGAGAACAGTTGGTTATGAGGCCTACATGTGTTAAAAATAAATTGACAAAGCCCGTCAACCTTGATTTTCTATCGTGTGCCTCTTCGTCACTGCTGGAGGACATGCTGGCCTAGTCCAAAACAGACTTATGGGGATATCAGGAGGAATATGCACCTACTGTTATTGGATAGTGTGTTTGGGCCACAAAGTGACCATAGTGGTGCTGCGACTGGCCTTTTCTCCTCCATTCTCCTTTGATATCTACTGCTCTTCACCCAGATCCTATCCAATTCTTCGTTGTCAATGCCACCATCACCCAACTCCAAAGCTGAGATGATGAGATGAAGTTTTGGTTCAGGTGCTCTTAATCATCTTCATCCCTCTCACACTTTATTTATTCTACGAATGTCACTGCCACCCCTAATAACATTGCTAGCATCACTTGCAGTGACTTTTACAGTTAGAACTGTTTCCCTTGCAGATCTTCTTTTCATGGGCATATATCTGAGAAAAAGTCTGATTTGTAACATTTTAATATCTATACACAGCTTAGATGCTTGTTCAATAGGAAAAAAAAAATAATAGTAAATAGTAAAAATAAAAATAGAGGACACATTCAGGGTTGTTGAATTCCTATCGCCCGATGCTCGGGACATGTAGTTCCGGGTGCCAGGCAAGTAGTTTGTTTTTACTTTTAGCCCTGCTGCGGGCAAGCTCACCTGTCAGATGGAAGCATTCAGGTGGCAGATCTGTTGCCCGAATGCTTCCATACAGTACCAGCCTGTCCGCCCCCCGTGTGTGAAGCTCCCCCGCCCACTGTCTCCTGGGCTCTGCTTGCTCATCTGCGGGCCTGGGACTGGCTCAGAGTGAACCGACGGCTAGAGAGGAAGGAGGAGAGTGGACACATCCAATCCACTCCCCTTCTTGTCCTGTCCCAGAACTGACGTTATGATGTCACTTCCGGGTCCCAGTTGCATCTGCAAGCCTGGGACTGACTCAGAGTGAGCCGACGGCTAGAGAGGAAGGAGGAGAGTGGACACATCCACTCCACTCCCCTTCTTGTCCTGTCCCAGAACTGACGTTATGATGTCACTTCCGGGTCCTAGTTGAGAGACTCCCAGCAATTGAGGCCTGGGAAAGAATGTAATGCAGTGTGATGTGCACTGCATTACATTCAGGAGAGAAGAGGGGAGACATCCCAGGTCTTTTAGACCTTGGATGTCTCAATAAAGAGAACCTGTCACTAAAAAATCATTACATAGGGGACATTGTCCCCTATGTGATGAAAAAAATAAATGAAGTAAAAAAAAAAAGTATTTTGTTTTAATTCTAAAAAATTTAAGTTACACCCAAAATTGAGCCCCCCACATATATGCACATACAAACGTAAAAGCACACTCTGGGGTGCCTACGTATGAAACCGTCTATTGCGATACACATGTTACATATCGCCACGCACACCAGAATGAGAGCAATAATTCTAGCACCAGACCTCCTCTGTAACACTATAATGATGACCTAGAAGGGGCTTTAAAAGCGTCATCTATAGAAAATATAGGGTCCTGAAGTTCGTCGCCATTTCACGAGTGTACGCAAATTTAAGGTTTGACAAGTTGGAAATCTATTTACTTGCTGCAACCTCATCTTTTATAGTTTCCAAAAAAATAGGGTAATTTATTGCTTTTTTTGTGCCATAAAATTAACTAACTTTAATTTTTACTGAAATGTTGCAGTAATACCATGCAACATAAAAACTTGAAACTACCACTATTTTATTCTCTAGGGTCTCTGATTTCAGAAAATATATCATGTTTGGGTGGTTTGTGTAA